TTTTATCGCATAACACTTATTCTTTAGTGTTGCTCCCTGAAAGGCGCTGAAATGTGTCTCCTCTTCTCTCTCTATTTTTTTTTTCCACAGGAAAATCGTCTCTGGGTTGATAAAGGCTCAGAGCAATGGAGGAAGCAAGGCTGACATCTTCTTAAGAGATGATAGGGGAGCCAAATCAAATAGGATGGAGCAGTCACTCTTTTCACAGATAGGTAGCTCATTTCTGGTGGCTGAGAGTTTGCATCCCCAGTGGCGCTCTGCCTGGGAAAGATAGCTCGCTCGGACTCTATTCATTATTTCATTCCCTGCCTCCTCCTTTCACATCTTAGCTACTTCTTTTTTTCCTTTAATGAGTTGCCTATTTTTCCCAAGTGTTGATGAGGATCTTGGAATTTAGATTTGGAGACAAAATATGTAATCACAAGTGTTTTTCATTTGTGAGCAAGAAGCAGAAATCAATTATTTCTATTAGACCATGCTGATTGGAAATGAATGGAAGTGGGGAGATTTTGAAACAAAGGATCCATGGAGACAGAGATAAGTGTCAGTCTGCTCCCCTAGAGGTTTGATATGTGGTTTGGCTTAATAAACAGTCTAAAAGCATCTATCATTAAATCCATCCAGACAATGTGGATACAAACACAAGAAAATAATTAATGATAACAGTGCATTTAATTTGAGAATTGTAGCACCAAAGTAAGTGATATGATAGACTGCAAATCCTCAAAACTCTGCAAACAGTTTGCATAATGAATGTCTGTACAGTTATATCTGTGTAAAGTTCTAAAAAAAAACCTAACTTAATGTATTTTGAATTCTCCTTTTTTCAGTCCTCATTATCGCAACTTCCTGACAAATTGCACTAACATTTCCCAAACACCATTAGCTTCAACACCCCATCAATAAAGCCTGTTTAACATCATGTTCAGCTTGGCACTTAGTGAAGAGCACTCTCCTATCATATCCCTCACATCCTATGAAAATCCCTTTGAAAATTATTTATAAAAATTAACTTCTCTTGCAGAGGGCTGAAAAGAAGAATTACATGACAGATAAAACACTTTATCAAAAGTGAAAGACCAGACATTGTACCTCGAGAAATTGGGAAGATGGTCGAAACAATGAATATTAAGTGCCAAAGAATCTAAAGCTGCTGACTAAATTGAAACCGTAGATCCTGAGGGGAAAAGGTTTCCAAATTGCTAATTACTGTCTCTGAAAAGGGGCTGTTTCTGATATGTTTGCTTGTGAAAGGCTTTCGCTTAATGAAGCAGTGGCTTCATTTTCCCCCTTTTTTTTTTATGTTCTTACTCCCTGGTTTTCAGGACTCTCTCTGGACTTTCCTCCCAGACCAGAACAATGGTGGACCCAGGAGCCTAACTTCCCCACAGGCTCCAGTGAGAGCAGGCCGGGGGCTGGGTACTGAGGGAGCCGCTCAGCCTGCTGAAATATGGAGGCGACAGATAAGGGGACAGTGGCACGGAGAGGCCCTCTCCCCTGGGCCCAAGGGGAAATTTGCAGTTATTAAGAGAAGATGAGAGCGATTAAACGGCTTTTGTACTCATTTTCACAGACTTTTCTTTTTTATTATTTGGGCTGCCTTCATCTGATAGATGAAAGACGTGGTAAATTACTTTTTTTGCTTTATTCAGTAACGGCACTAGCTTTAAAAATAATTCCTCATTGCAAAAAAAACTCTCATACAATAGTGGTAGCACTAGTAGAACAATGAGCAATATAATTACTATAATCTGTAATCTGAAACTTAAGTGATTACAGAGTTTTCTTGCTTTTGGACTTTGTTGAAAACTAAAACAATAGTATCTTCATTACATACAGACATTAGACACTTCCTGAGGGTAGAGCCCTCCGACATACAGTGAAATTTAACCTCAAACTTGAAACTCTGAATAGATTTGTGCTTGGTTGTTTTGTGATGCATTTTTATTATGTCAGGACTGTTTACTGGTCGGCACAACATGTGATTCCTCTACATGAAGCTATTTATTTGACAAAATGACCTTTTTGATACAGCGTAGAATGGAATTCTGGTCCAAGAAGTGTGTAATTTAAAGCTTTCAGAGGACAGGGTACACATCCACAAACTGTACCAGGAAGCAATGGAAGGTGATTTGAGGGGGCACAATTTCTCATTACACTGAGCATGGTTACCATTTACCTGTTGAGGGGATCGCAACATTATGCAATATGAAGGTATGGCAAGATGCCGGAGGCAGTGTGATGCTTTGGGCAAAGTTCTGCTCAGCGCATTTTGTCCCTTAGATGTGTCCTTATTGGCACTCACATTCCAGGAATGGTGTAAGAGCACAACAGTCCAAATATGTTAATTTGGTCCGCTGGAACGGCTTTGATATAATGTTAAAAAAAGTGTAATCTATGGAGAATTCTCTTTGTAACTACAGGGTAATAGGTCCACAACTTCATCCATTAGACCTATTCTCAAGGCACAAGGGGGACAGATATAAAATCCCTACAAAGTCTCTATATACATTTTCTTTTGAGACGTTACACAAAACAATTTTTAATCTGAGGAGGCTGTTTTCACTGTAAAAGTCTGAAAACTGATTTTTTGGACACATTAGTTGTGATGTTACAAATCCAGTCTGCGGCTTTGCATCCTGGCTGGTAGAGGAGAAAACGTCACTGCTGTAAACTGTTTGAATTAGGCAAAAACCAACATTTAAGTTATTAATGAGTTTGCCAGCTGGTGGTTTTATGGCCCAATCATTTAAACAGTCGATCATTCTTCAAAGTAGATTATTTGTGTTGTTTGTGTGTGGTGCAGATTCCTCTGTAGACGATACAACACGAATATGCGAGAGATTAAAATGATCGTTTACAAAAAGCTCTGGGAGTGACTGTGATGTAGAGATGATCTGCTCTGACAGGCTGAGCTCTATCTGCCTCTGGAGGGCCTCTGCGCCGGGGATGACGTCACCGTGAGGTGGAGTCCCCCGATTGGCTGCGACCGCGGGGCGGAAGTGCGTCTGTTGTCCCAGCTGCGTGCCGAAAACAAAAATAAGAGGAGCTGCGACTGGTGAGTGCTCTATGGCCGCAGACGCTGCTTCTTGCCGTCTATCTGTCTGACCGTCGCTACCGTGGTCGCATATGGCCGTCGCGTGCGTGGCGGAAGCCGCCGACAAAACGGCGGGGCTTCGTTTGAGCCGCGCGGCACAAATGCGTGGCCGTCCTTGTGTTGAGCTCACGTGCGAGTTGTTATGTAACAGCCCACGGCAGGCAGATACTACATCCCGCCCGTGTTATTGTTTGCGGCCCAGATGCTGCAGAGCTCGTCGGGCTCTTTTTTTTTCTTCTTCCTCCCGTCGTGGAGATGATGCAAACCTTTTAGAGCTGCTGATGAAGAGCAGGGGCTTCGGAGAGGCAGTAATTACTGCCCAGACGCAATCAAAAGGGGGAGGCAGGTCCCCCCAAATCAGCTTAATCAATGCTAAGCTGCTGGGCTGGCTGGGAAAATCAGTCTGCTGATATTCTATCGCCCAAACGGCCGCAAGAGATGTGTTTAGCGGTGATTGTGCGGCCGGGCTTCCGGTTGGATTCGGTCCCTGCTTTTTTCCCCCGGCGGGTAAAGATCTGATGTAACAAACGCTGCAGCCGCTGGTGGGGAAACAGCCCACCGAGGCCTCCCCACAAACCCGCGCTGCTGGCGCTCTCCGAGCCCCAACGTTTGCTATTATTCTAGAAATTGCAGAATGAAAATCACTGTCTTGATAAAAAAGAAAAGAAAATATATTTATTAGAGCAAATGGTGATCATTGAAGAATCACACAAAGAAGAAGGAATATAGAAAGATGTTCAGATATTTAGCTTAAGAGATAAGAATAAGAACAAAATGATTCAATTCTGAATTAAAAATGCATGTAGGAAAATACAGAGCATTTAAGTTCCATAGTTTGAACCAGATCAGAGAAATTGAACACATTTTTTGTTTTTTGGTAAGACTGACATTTAATCTCAATAAAATAAGAAATTCAGATGAATACACTCAGGCAGTTTATGTTTCACCGATCCATTTGTTGATTTGTGTTTATATTCCTCTTTGGCGAGCAGTTGAATATGGTTAAATATTGCATCTCTTTATTGTTAATTTTCTTTTTACACATTAAAATGTTCATCCACAATGCAGAAGGAGTGCCAGGGTTTGGTTTATTCTATCCAGGCTAATGGACAGGGGCAAAGGCATCCGTAGACGAAAACTACGTAAACCAAGAGCAGCTTTGCCTCAAACCACTTTTTCTTATATTAATTCTAGTATCACAAGACCACACAGTGATAATTCCTTCATTCCGGTTTTATCATTTTATTCAAAGGCGGATTCAATAGATTGTATTTATACGACAACAAGTCAGTCGGTCTAGTTTCCTGAAGAAATGTACCTCTTCATTGTTCATTATCACTAACAAGATGGGTAGGATCTTTAACATCAAGCCAAATCATGCATTTGTAATTCTGTTTGCTGGAAAGTAAATTGAGCTTGGTAAAATGTTTGCTTTTGAGCACAGACAGGGCTCTGTGGGCTTAGATTAGAGTTTACCCAACTCTAATACACCTTGGCCAGTGGCTGTCCTCCTGCTCCTTTTTCGGAAGGATACAATTCTTAAATCATCATTTATCTTGATATGATAACGTAATCCATCCAATATAACTACAAATAAATGCAATAAATGGTTCAAAATGTATATTACACACTGGAAATGTAATAGAATTAAAGTGGTGACAAATTATTTTAGAAAGGAGCCTGATCCTGCATTTCTAAAGAGATCTTACCTTTCATCAAACACTACGTTTTTGTTCTGCTCAAAACTACTGATGATGATAGTAGTTGTCTTAAACTGTTCAACAGCGGCTTCATTGACCAGTGACTCGTTGTCTCTTTGGGTTTCATGCAGATTGTTGACCAACACTAAACTGTACCATAATCCACACAGTTAAACCTCTTCCTGTCCTTGGTTTCCAGCATCATGATGGATGAACTGGTGCAGGACCTGGTATCTGCACTGGAGCAGGCCTCAGAGCAGAGCAAGCTGGGGGAGCTGTGGGAGGAGATGGTCCTGAATCCACTGCAGCATCGGCGGCAGATCCGACGCCGCCGATGCCGTAAGCGCTTCCGCGAGTCCTCCCTCTACCCAATGGCGCGCAGGCGATGCTGGATCGAGGCCTCGGAGTCCAGCTTGGATGAAGCTAATGAATACAGGGCGGCCTCATCGTCCACCTTCGCCGCGACTGTTGGCAACTGCAGTGACTCTGATGACATGACCGCCACTGAGCACTGGTCATCCCTCGTGCGAAGCCCAGTCAGGACCAGGCAGTCCTCTTGGCCAGAATCTGACTCATTCACTGAAAATAACCCTGGACGTCCGCTCAGGAGGAGAAGGAAGGTCAAGCGTATGTCCTCAGACGTGACAGTCAGACTCCAGCAAAAGTTAAAAGTTCCCAGCGTGGATGGGAAGCAGAGGCGCAGGCCATCTAGGGTGCAGCGTCTTCCGGGATCGAAGATGAGCTCCAGCAGCTGGATGGAGAGAGAGAGACAGGCTGAGGGAGGCAGACTGATGGGAAAGGAGTGCTGGAAGAGGAAGATGGCAAAGGAACGCAGGGATCGCGTGGATGAGAACATGTCTGAGGGGTAATGTGAAATCTAACCATTCACCCAGATTAATGTTAGTCCCCCTTTTTTATCACTCCATTCATATGCATGCATCATACAAAAGACACAGTATCTGTGAAAAACAGCATTCTCACATAAAAACCTGCATTTAATTGGCAATTGTTCCACAAGCTGAAATTTAACTCCCCGAAAAGAGGATGGATTGAGACCATTCGGAAAAAGGTGCTAAAAATCTCAAAGCCCCCTTTACCCTTTAAAATGAGAGTTTCCAAGGCCGTGAAATTCATAACATAAAAGTCATGCGAATAACTACCATGAGACAGAGGCAATTAAACAAGGCGACATTTAAGATGATCTATACAGCCTGTCTTGATCGAGCTAGATGTCAATATTCAGAATGTCCTCAGCTAAACCAAAGAAAGGTATCATAAACATGCCTTTCCACTTTCCACAATACTCCAAAGTATTGACTAGACATTAAAAATGAATGATAGAGTCCCTTTATCCACATCTCTTGTAGCTGATCTGATCATCAGGGAAAGATCTTGGATGGTTCCTCCTCCAGGCAGCTGCTAGCTCATTATTTCCTCTCCAGAAATAATGTCACAAATAAATAAGTGACTTGGTGTGGTATCGATTTGTGTTGAAATGAATTCCGGTCTTTGACAAAGTAATTAAAGCTGTTCTTGTCCCATAGTCCCTGGTGCACTCTTGTGTTTGCTTTTTATTTAAGAAACCTAAATGTGGATCTTACAGCCAGCGGACAGGGACGTTATGCTAGCATAGTGAAGCACCATTAGAATATGCACTTCTGAGCAGGAAATTGAATACCAAAAACAGAATGAAGCATATTTAATCATTAGAGCAACAAAAAGCCAACAGCAAGGCTGGTTAATTGCCCACTAACACATTTTTAAAGCTATGCAGACCAAGTCTCAAATGTCCGGCTCTGTTTCGACATATTTCCTTTGCTTATCTCAATTTCTGTTCATCACATAAAGCATTTGGGAAGAAGACATTTGAAATAAGCTATAATGCGACAGAGGAGGCCTTACATCTTCTGGTTTAATTTGTGCTGACCTCCCTAGCCCCTAAACGGTACTTGTTTTCTTACTTTATGGAAAAATCAATAGCCGTCCTGACAGAAAACAGCTCCGGAGAAGAAATAAATGGGGGCACCATAGCACGCTGTCAATCATTTCTCACTTACACAACGCCAACACTCTTGATTGCTGCTCAGTAGACTGCCACTCTGTAGTGTGGACTGAACAATCTAATGGTTTAGCCCCGGCGGAGGCAAGGGATACGAACAAATGGCAGCAGCGACGAGGGGTCGACAGCCGTACAGCCGCGGCAATTTTTATTCTCTGAGAGCGTACGGGCTGTTTTATGTCAGACACACATGCCATTGTTGAAATGTCTTTTTGAGTCACTGGCGTTTCTTTGGTCTCATTTTATTCCGTTAACCCTTTTCGGTCTCTTAAATGTGCCTCTCCTCAAGGTCACTCCCCTTCTGTGAATACTGAGCAGAGCTTTGCCTTCAGCTACCCAAGTGCAAGGACAGCAGATGTTGGGAGCTCCAGTTGGGCTCCACATCCTTGATTAGACCTGGCCCAGCCTGCTGGCAGTGAGGCCACCTGGCACTCAGGCTGGCCCGGCTAGCAGAGCTCACCTGTGGGTAGCCGCTGTCTCCAGCCCAGCGTCCCGCTGCGCGCTGCCTCTATTGATGTTGATTTCTTAGGAAAACAAAAGGCACAGTGGGGCCTATCATGCCGTAATTTAGATTTTGAGAGCTCTTTCAGGAGTTTTTGGGAAGGCAGTGCCGCATTTGCTGGAGTTAATTTTCATAAATCTCTGAGACTAATCCAATTACTGCAGCTCAGGGAGGGTGGGATAACCTTATAATCAGACACCCATGGAAGAGGGCATGGATTTGGGTTGTGGCGGCTTGTTTGAAGAGCCCATAGATCCATTGTTATCAGCACTTTGCCCCCCTTTGACTCTCTTCTTCTTTATTCTTCTGCAGAATGAGCCCAGGCTCAATAAATGGCAGCTTGGCTGTAATCTCTGTGCAAACTGGTCTGCCTCTCTCAGGAGCTGAGGATTATATCCTAATGATTAGTGCTCATCTGGATACTGTGTTTTGCTTCACATCTTTGGCTTGTATAGAGACAAGCGGGCCACATGGGGAGTTCAGTTCATCCCTTAACACTTGAGCTTTTGCCCTTGCCTTTGTCTCACTTAGACCCGCTGTAAACTATTTATTCTAATTATGGTATCTAATCCATAATAGAAAAACATTTTTTGTGATGAGTTCAGGTCTTTGCTGTGCAGGATTTACTTGCCGTACACAGTGAGTGAAAGGCAAAGCTTTCTTAAAATGTTTGTCAACTTTTCTTGGAAAAGGTCACAGTTGAAGAAACAAGAGTTTGGTCTCATGAAAAATAGACATATCAATTATTTACGCCATTAATTAGGCAGTACTTAATGGAAACAGTCTCTTAGTGGCCCTGTCCTGCTCCAAGCGACATCACATTACACTTTTAATACAGATGAATACTTAATGGTGGTCTATAATTAATTGCGTATACCTTGAATTCTTTTTCAAACTTTGCACAAATCCTTGTAATAAGCTACAAACACGTTCTTCCTTGACAAATGAAGACGACAGCCAGCTAAACGCGGGCTTTTGAACTCGGTGTTCGAGGCCCGACACCAGAGCAGCAGGTACTGCTTCTCTAGAGCTTGTGGCCGTGTCCTCTACTGGTGCTAGATGATCGCAGCTGATATGTCCAGAGGTGTGTTACTGCTGAGGAGCGGCCCCGGAAATCAATCTGGAGAGACAGAGTTGAAGGGGTGGAAAAGGGGGGGGGGGTGGAGGCACAGTCCAGGGCTGTTCAGTTAGGACAGACATCTTCCACATTCCCCCGAGAGGCCTGTTCGCTTCTCACATCTGCTTTTTGTGGATGTTTGGGGAGAGGATGCAGGACCATCTGGCCAAGGTTTGGGCAGGCCGGCTGGATAGATGTTTTCCTGGTCCTGCTGTCACTCAGAGGCCTCCGCAATATGGCAAAGCCCCATATCAGCGCATATCTGACCCCCAAGCTTTCTCCTGCAAGCAAGGTCAGAGATGATGAAGAGGAAGAAAACTGCAAGACAGCCAAGCGAATGAAGTCAAATCTCCTTCACAGAGTAGTTTAAATGGGGAGCTTTATTCAAAGGGTAAGGCTGTTGTTTAAAAAAAAAAACACCGGATTTTGAAGCTGTTTCTTTTAAGATAGTTTGGTGAGAAAGGAATGTTGAATTGAGACATATTGTGAATGTTTTTTGTTTTTCCGTGCTCTGTGATCTTGTGCCCTTTACCTTGAACTTAAGGCCCCTCCCCATGGGGGCTGAGGTGTGAGAAAAAGCACGGAAACTTGGGTCTGGTTTAAATGAGGCGTAGGGGCGCAGAGGGCGCTGTGGGAGTGGGACGGGGTTTGCCTGAGGGCGTGGAGAAGCCCGGCAGTGGAGCGGCGGAGGCAGAGAGCGGCGGCAGCCCGCGCAGCAGATGTCATCCAGTTGTTGTGGAAGCGGCAGCGTGTCTGCGGGTCGCTGTGTGTGAGGGGCACACCCAGAGGGAGGGGCGGGCAGGGGAATGCGTTTCACTCTGCTGTCATCCTCCACAACACAGGCCAGATTAGATTGGAGCTGACAGCGGAGGATATTCAATTAGATTGTTCATGTCACTCAGTGGGTTCGATCAGAGTCTCTCCTGATGCCTTTGTGTTTGCCATTGCAACACGGGAGAATACAGCATGCTCTGTCTTTTTGTGTCATTTCCATTTATGTCGACCTCCAGCTCTGGTCGTCTTCATTATTTCTAATATTGAATGCCACATGCTAAGTACTGACATTACAGTGGCATGCAGATTTGCTAGTACATTGTTCACTTTTCAGATGCCATAACATCGTCTGACCTCAAGAACCCATCAGGCTAAAGATTACAAATAAAAGCAGAGTTTTTCCTCTTGAAATGGCAATGATAGGAAACAAGCAGGCCATTGGGAATAACTTATTCTGCTGCTGTTTTTTCAGGGAAACCAGCAGCACCTGCAGCAGTGACCCTGGACTATTCACCAATGATGAAGGAAGACAAGGTACCAATAAAAGAATATCGTCACATACAGTGTGTTGAAACTTGCAAGTGAAAGCCTGGTTAGATTTAGTCTATTTGCGGCTTACAAACTAAGCTTTCGCCCTGTAGAGAAAGATGGCACGTTGTCCGGATGGACTGTAACCTCTTCAACTCTGAGGGAATGCCTGGGCCATGGAGGGAGATTTGGCTACAATGGGTTGGTTGCTGGGCACCCAGGCGACTAATAAGACGTTGTCATGTCATGTTAATGAGCGCTGAAGCCTTTGCTAATCTCATTAGCCGTGGTGGAGCCAGGCGGCCTCTGATTTAACAGTTGTCACTACACCTTGACTGTGAGAGGCATGGTTCCTGTGTGTGTTGCTGAGTGACAGGCCTGAGAGGACCTCACTGTCCAGGGATGAGACCGGTGGCGTCTGGTGCTGTATAGTTGAATTAGGAAAAATATTGAAAAAGAAAATTAAATTTCCCCCATTACAATCATTCAGTCACTCCCATGCCAAAAAAACCTAGAGAAGCTGAATAAGATATGGATTAAGTAGCTTGTGCTATTTTTTTTCTCCTCCGCTCTCAGGTGATGATGAGCAGAGCGACTGGTTCTTTGAAGGTGACTGTGGAGTTGGAACGGGTGTGGCCGGACTGCTGCCAAACTGGGACTCCGACAGCCCCCTCTCTCTTGAGGAAAGACACGCCTCCCCCAGCTTCCTGCAAACAGCTCAACTCTCTGACAGAGGTTGTGGAGAATTTCCCCATTTCAAGTTGTTGCTTTATGAATAAAATGAGCACACTGCACTTTTGGATTTCTTTTGGGATTGAACACTGTTGGATTTGAACACTGCACCCAAATTCTGGCTGTCAGAGGGGGTTCTGTGGTTTTCCCACAGCTTTTGCATGTGGTTAGGTGGGGGAGTGTGCTCACCAAGAAGTCACCCCATCTAATTAATAACCTTTAAGAAAGTTAATTTAAAGCTGGACCTCAAACAATTCTCAAACACGCAACTTATTTGAGATATTTCATGAATTTATTAAAAATCAATCAACATTTTGAAACATCTTTCAGCCATCTGTATAATACACACTTTTATAGAATTACATAGTGTAAAAATATTTAGAATAGTTTTTCAGTGTGTTAACTTTCTCATTTCCCTTTTGAAGTTCCTGCACCACGCACAACATTTTTGTATATTTAATGATAATTTCATATCAAAGTAAGAATACGTTTTATTTCCGTTGCAGGGTATCACTCACGTCTTAAACGACTCCCTGGCTCTACCGCCTGCTGCATCAGAAGGGACAGGAGGCGGCTTTCCAGGAAGGTAGAGATAACTTGTTTCCCCCTTTTTCACTAAACATACAGATGCTGAGCTCATTTGCACATTTAGTGTATTTGTATCTCACAGCGTTTCTATTTTGAACAGGCCAACAACATGCCAGTATTTGTTGAAAGACTGCGACACTTTTCCCAAGATCATTACCAGAGAGAGTAAGATATATCAGATGTTGATAGTATTTACTCATCTATTTATTTGTGTCCACATTTAACCTCTCACTGTTATTGTCTATAGGTTCTGGTTGCCCTCTGTTGGAAAACGAGACCGAAGCCAGGTATGCTCCAGCAAAAAAACGTCTTTTCTTACCAAACTCTGACTTCTTTGTGTCTGTAAAACTATGAAATCTAACTATTACTGATACTTTCAATTCCTAGTTAAACCATTTGTGCCCATTACCAGTGTGTCCTATGGACATGATGTCAGAGAACTCACATCTCCGCTGTTCATCCTCCGTCTTCAGAAACAGGTGGGTGATGCTGGATGTTAGTCAAACAGGGCATCCTTTAGGGGCCTATCGGAGTTACTGTTTAGCCCTGTCAATAAGAGCTCAATATGTTGATGGGCTACACCAGCCAGCTCACTTAAATGAATCAGTTACAGAAACTAAGCAATGCCAGGAAGCGGGGCTACTGTGTGTATATGTGTGTGTGTGTGTGTGTGTGTAAGCAGATATAATCGGTGTGTCATATCTTCTTCCTCATTAAGATGCAATCAACTCTGTGCGATTTAGATTATAACAGTTAGCTTTGTTGTGTTGTATACATTATAATGAAATCAGTGCTTTTTTTCTCCAAAACTCTAGTGTTCAAATTACAAATGCAGTAGAAAGACAGTCCTCTTTTTAGGATCTTATGATGTCAATCCTTATTGAAGTGATAATTGTTAGCCACAAAAGTAACAACAAAGTAACACAAAAGTAACAAATGTTTTCAAGGTCAGTGTTACCAAATCGAGAAATAAAGCCTTGACTTCATGGAGATTTAAACTCTTGACCTTTCCGAGACTGCACATAAGAACTGAAATTTTCCTGAATATGTTTGTCAAAATGTCTCATTGCTCCCAGCCATCCCTGGAACTGTTGGATCTTCATGGGGGACTATTGAGAAACCGAGCAGCCCCCTTGGCCTTAAGACTGTGGGACTCCTCATTTTGTTGTTTCCACACTGCCTATTTATGGCGCATTCTTAATTTTGTTTCACACACCCCTGTCCCTCCCCCTCTCTTGGGTTATTTCACAGAGCACACCAGCACTCCTTGATGAGGGGCAAAAACACGACAGCTATGAAAAGCCCCCCGACTTCTTAGGGCTTTCTTTTCTAAAGTGGGCCTTTCTTCTCCACCTGAAAGGTTCCTTCAGATTCCAGTTTAAGTCATTGTGAATACTAATTTCTTCTATTAAAAAGCCCTCATATCCCTGCCATGCTCTCATTTGAATGACAGACTCAGGGGAGATCTCTTAATTCCTTTATAGTGGGATTCAAGACTCTTCACTTCAAAAAGTATAAATCATACTCCCAAATGAATGAGGGAGAGAGGAGGGATTGACGAGAGGGGCTTCTGATGTGTTCTGTTGGACAGTGCAAGCTGAATCCATCTCCCCAAGCAGTTCATATCCACTCTCCAGTGAGACGGCTACTTTGTCCTTATGACCTGTCTTTGCACCATTTTGAGTCACCCAAAATACACACAAACCAGAATGATGCTTCCCCTACAGTTACTGTACAAATGTAGAAACTCCCATCTGCTCTGCACAAAGCTTTAGATACATTTTTCCCCTTCCTCTTGAAGTTCTTTTGAAATTGCACTTAAAAGGTTGGTTTCTAACTCTCTGAACCAAATTCCATATGAATTGTGTTTTCGTTATGGCCGGGGGTCAACTTGAGTCTGCCATTGTTTGAATTCCACATTGGATATGATCTGTTGTTTGATGTAAGTTGGTGTTAAAAACCCCACTCTCCTCGTCTTTGCGTTGGTGTGCGGACAGGCACAATTCTTTGTGGGATTTGGCTGTAATGCTCCGGGCCGTTGGCCACGTTAAAATGCGAAGCTGCCTCCCACCTGAGCCGGGCAGCTGCAGCTTTTATCTATTGACTTATTTATTTCTAAATGACACTTGCGCTGTGAGATAAATCATAGTCTTACACCACTCCCTTCCCAGTTTTCATTTTAATTGTGAGATCACAGTGTCAGCAGTTAGTATATTGGTGTGAGTGGCCTATTGATTATTGATTTGGAGCTATTGATTATGTTCCCTGGAGACCCTAATCCTTTCTGATTCATTTGAATACCTCTATTAATCTTGAGATCCTGCTCACACCTGAAGCAGCATGTACCCTAATGAAAATAGATGGCCATTTTGTAACTGCACTTTCTCACTCCTTTTTTGATTTATTATTTTTAATTGATATATTTGCTTTTAGACTTGGGCACCAAAATTACAATTGACCCTGTGTCAGTGCTGTTTTACTCAGCACCCAAAGGGACTTTACATTGCATTTAAAAGTGACTCATATGACCTGAAAATCTATCTTGGATACTTTTTTTCTCTTTGTCCTTGTGCCTTTGATAGAATTAAGTTGTTGTTGTCCATCTCCAGTCCTCCCAACTTGTTTTCTCATTGCTCATCGGTTCAAAGTCAATCTTTGTTTTCTCATCAGAGTTTCAGTAAATGCAAGCACAAACATCTGTCGAGTCGTTTAAACTGATGAAGTAACAGATGTTAAATAATAACTATGCTGTGCTTTCTTCCTCTTTTTAAATGACTGGTTTCAGTTCTCCTCTTCTACACAGAGCAATGCAGCATGCTTATAAAATGCATTTGGTTTCTTCTCTGAGATGAATGGTGGTGTTTTGCTTTGGTTAATGAGCCAGCTGATATCGTTCTCATGTCTGATTAGCACTGAGCTGAGTGCCTCAGTGGACTCCTGATGGTCCCACGGTGGCTCAGCACTCAGTGGGCTTTAGCCGGGAAGAGCCCTCGCCTCCCTCCAGGCAGCCGGGAGACACACAGGACCCCTGTGTGTCTCGGCCTTGTTGCAGAGATGGAGGGATGGACCTCCATACATTAAACCCAAATGCATCAGGGTATTACTTTTAATACCGCAGGCGTGCCTCATGAAATAATGTGACGTTTAAATGTGGATCGATTTGGGAATTAAAAAGTTAGTTTGCAAAGATTTACTGTGGGGAGTTCAATGCCTGAGCTCTTTATCAGGGGCGCAAATGGCTGGTTATGTGCTGTCCAACAGAGGTACGATTGAGGGATCGATAGGTGCGTGATTTACTAACTGGAGTACAGGTAATCAATAAGTATAAAAGTAAATGAAATATGCATTACTGGGATTTTATTAGTGAGGGGCAGCAGGGGAGAATAACGGTCAGGCCATTTATTTTTATATCTATTGATTATACAACATAGGGACTTCGCTCAAAGTGCGCCCTGAACAGCTCTCAACACCCTGCGCCTGCACACCCGTTATGTGATTTATGGGCGTTGAGGTCATGGAACACACTGCCAGTTAAAAGGCTGGCCTGACAGGGCCATGTTGTAGCATGTGTCTTTTAGGGCTGTGAGCTTTATGTAGCTTGTTGTCTCAGATGTAAGAAGTAGTTTCTCTAGAAACGCTTCTTGCTCAGTTCATTTTTACAGGCGTATTGACATTTTCAGAGAATATGAAATTGTATGAACCGACTTCAGGGTACAGGTTAGTTCATAACAAGGCAACACTATATAACTATGTTACTAAATAGCTTAAGTCGTAACAAACTTTTTGTCTTTTTTTGTGGGGCACATTTCTACTCTCAACATGCCCTGATTACATCAATTGCTCCCAATACCACATGAAGGAGCAGACCTTGTCTTTAACTTTACATTTCTGAAGTCAGGTGTATTAAGTTCATGGGGAGGCTTTCCTATTTGAAAACTTCTGACATTTTGAATGTTTGTGTGTGAACTATCCTGTGATGTATTTTCTCTCTTTCTCCTTACAGGCGCACTAATTTCACTCCAGGACTGGTGGGCTCTACAGACATCAGGAGAAGAAGGGAAACAGAGGCTGTACCCACGACAGCAGGTAGCATCCCTTCCAAGTTCATGCAACGGCACCATTTTCTTTATTGTCCTCAGGAAAATGTGTTCATAGACAGAACAGTAAAGGAGCATGAGGACCACTAAACTATGTGCTTTTGACTTCTGACATTGAGCTTTCTTATGAACATTCTTTGGTCTGCACCCGGTGGCACAAAACCGTTTAATTCGATCCATAGATCATTCTATAATAAAAGTTAAAAAATCTCAAACTCATCACAATGCCTTTGAGGGAGGTAAGTAAAAAAGAGATAAGTGTACAAGTGTACGAGCGAGACACAGGGCAGGAATAAACATCAGGCTGAATTTTTCTGCGGCTGAGAATGCAGAGAAAACAACAAAATGAAAAACAGTTGTAAAGTTTGCTTTATCCCTGTTGTTAGTAATGACTGATTGATTTGTGTCACATTAGCTTTGCTGGTCTCTTTCAGTGATGTTGCTGATGTGCTGGTTTGTAATCACGAAAAGATCCTGATCTCTTCTTCCTCTACTCTGCTTTGTTGTAAATCAGAGGGGATTGAATTGGTTGATTCCTATAGTGATATCGATTGCAGTGAACATGTAGTTGTTATCATTGAGCACATTAGCATGCTGATGCTTCCAGTTGGTGTTAAGCACTCTTTTGCTGAAACAAAGCGAGCTGTCGAAGCAAACACCAGCACGAGGAAATGTGCAGTCATACAAGACAGTTTGAAAAAGAGAATTGTTACGTTGAGTTTGGCCTGTTGCAGAGTGCACCAAGCAGTTAGTATTGTCTGTGTTTAGACGAGTGGAGCTGCCTTTTTTCATTAGACTGATGGCTACGGCCCTGTATCTTTGCCGGATTGAAATCTGAATTGGTTTGTCCACCTTTTCTTCTCTGTCCCTTTTCTGTGCACCATTCTTGCTGCTGCTGTTTGTCATTTAAATAACAAATGCTGGTGGTTCCCTGATTTAGTGAGGGGTGCAGGCCTCTGATGTATATTAATATTGCTGCACAGTGCTTTGTACGAGGGTCCATCATTCATTTGGATAAAAGAGGTGGAATTTAAAAACAGCCAATGCTTTACTTGGATACAGATTGCATCCATTTATTGCACTGAGTGATGGAACAGCCAGCATGTCTGTCCTTCACCTTTTCAGCGCTGTAGCTCTCCCCATAAAAGTAAAAGAGGATTCACCCCTGGCCCCTAAGGACCCCTCATATTCAACGTTTGGAACCAGGGGCATCCCTCAGTTTGCCAGCAGTTAACAATCTCAAGGTTTCTGTGAGAAGTCCAAGACTGGGAACTGTTTGTATTTTAATGTAAAGCACAATAATACACACGTGCGTGTTCTCCCCAAATATTTCTCGTCCTTTATCCACATATTATTAGGAAATTAACAATCACCTTTTATGGGAAATATGTTTGAATGTTTTTGAGGCAGATTCTCAATTAAGTGTAAGCAGTGATTGATATCGGAGAGTTCCTGATGAGTCCCCCCCCCACCCCCCTGAACCCCACCCCATCCTGCCCAGTCTTTTCCTGCTTCTTGAGTCTAGTGCCCCCTGTCCACCGTGATTTATCATGCATCCCATGTTGTCCAATGTCAGTTTCTGCAGCTGCAACTGCTCTGTATAAATCTTTACTTTGGCAGCCCGCTGCACCATGTCTGTCCTCAGTAATCTCACCACCGCCAGGAGATGCACATTCACTCTGACAAGCTTTCACACTCTCTGTGTAAGACTTTTGGTTTGCTGCCATTCTGACATAAATGTGCAGAGAGGCAAAATCAGATTCTGTGATTTACTGAGTGGAGTTGTTTCCTGGTAGACGTCTAGTTTGCATGGTAAGATTGTTCTCTGCATTCACTGGAAAGAACACCGTGTCGCTCTTAGTGAACACGACAGCTGAGTCTTTGAGTTAGCCAGAGGAAGTGGATGGTTGTATGTGTTAGCGGTTCATTTGAAACTCTATAATCAGGAGTGAAAATAGTCTGTGACCAAAGGTATCTTCCAGAGCTCTATAGGGAATTACTGAGACGGTACCCAGCTGTTCCTTTGTCTTCTTTCTTTACGCTTTTAGCACCTCTCCAGGAGTGTTGAAGTCGGTTGTAAAAAAAAAAGCACCTAGCACAACAGCAAGAAAAAAACAACAACTTATCAGGCCAACATCTGTTTGGATTAGATGACCACTCCATTTCTCAACCTTAAATTGGCCATTTTCTACTTTTTTCCTCACCATCAATCCAGAAATCCAACTCTGCTCAACAGGTCCTGTCTAGATGTGGAACAAAGCACTTCTTCTTTTAGCTTTACGCTGTCAGTCTTGACATTTAAGGAAATTTTATCTACAGTTTAATAGATTTTCAGAATGTCAGTGTTTGTTAATTTGCTCTCCAATTCTTCTAAATGTCGTTAAAGGATTGATATCTACTAAGGTCGACATGATCAATTAAAATTTTCTAGGAAAGTTTGCTGGTAATAAGTCAGTTTGTGATCAGGTAAAATTAAATTGAGCTCTTCAGGCTGTATTTATGTGCTGGTCCTATGTGGGTGCCCAGCTGGAGGCCAGACCCATGGCCATATCTGCTGCCTCTCATCTCCCCTCTGCCTTCATGTGTCTCCTTGCCTGAGCAAGACGGCCCGGTGACAGATCACCTGCGTCGGAGGCTCGCCGTGTTCCTGCCCGGCGGTCCGGCCCCCTCTCATTAATGCCCAGGCTGGTGCGAGGGCCGTGTGGCAGCACAAGACAAATAACACTACCACTCAGCCATCACTTCTACTGACAGAAATGCAGCCCACCGCACTATTTCGCCCTCTCCGGCTCCACTCCACAACCTGCTCTTGTCCTTCAACCCCCCCACTCCATATCTCCTCCATCTCAGCCTGCACCTGCCCGTACTGCTCTACCAAACTTTCATGGTGGGGTTTTGCTGTTGCTCGAGGCTGAGCACCGAAACCCACACAGGTCGACACGCTGTGACAACTGACCTGGCTTTTCATCTCCTCTAGCTCGTCTCAATTTGGGTTTGTCTTTATGTGGATAGATTTGTTTTTCACAGCCCATTCTTTGAGGTACTTCGTGACTCACTTGTGTGTAAACCCTCTCACTAGGAAGTCTGATTTGAATGGCCCATTTTTGCTGTTGTGAAAAGAGCACTTCGCATGTGTGTGTGTGTGTGTGTGCCCGCGCGCGTGTGTGTGCACATGAGAGAGAAGGAGAGAGAAGCACAAAGGCTAATCATTAAAGAGCTATTCAGCCCTGTTCATTTAAGTGTGGGAATCAGCAGCCCCATTACTGTCAATGTGTAATTAGCTGATTAATAAACAGGGGGAAGGGGAGTGCTCCAGGAAGGCCGGTAATGATTGTTTTTAGAGAGCATCGCATGAGAGCTTATTAAGACGGTAAGGTGGTTCCATTCAACCTCCCATTATCACCCACAATAAATGTATGTACTGTAATTCTCCCTCTGACAAAAACCTTTTGCATTCTAATTTCTTCGCTGACCTTGATGTAAAATCACTAGCTTGTAGATTCTGGTGTTGTTTTATTAAAGCAACTAATTTTGTCCTTTTTTTAAATCACAGAGCTTGTATCTTTGGGTGTTGCATAAGTTTAGTTTTTAGTCACTTTTTTGGCACAGTTGTTGGTTTTATTTTCGAAGTGTTTTCTTAAAACTGACAAAAGTAACATGCACATTAGGGAAATATGGTTTAATTCAATATTTTTTAATGAAGGTACAGTTGTCATTTTAAACATGAAATATAGTTGCGTCACCTTTCCGCACCGTCAACTTGTGACTTTGTTGTTCCACATTAAGTGTAACACCGGTAAAAGATCTGAGCACTCCCTTCACAGTAAGCTCACTTTGCCAACACAAATTACCTCAGTTTGTGTTTTAGAATTATTATTATTTTTTTAATTTTGTTTCTACATTATGTTATCAGGTAATAATATTTCTAACCATCTGCAACTGTGGGTCCATGTTCACTCAAAAAATATTCCTTCTCTTGTCCTTATGATGACCTTGATGTAGAGTTTGAGCCAATACCTGGTACTTCGACTTCATTTTAACACACTAAACGTTCCCTGTATTTGACAATTATGAAAACTCCTGAATTTTGATCAAGTCCTTTGACTATGTTTAACCCAAGTGTTTCAGTTGGACCTCAGCAGCAGTTAGTCATCACTCCCTCAAGAAATATTAATCAATTATCTTGCCCGCCAGATCAGTTTGGGGAAGAAGTCATCTGGAAAGAGATATAAGGGAAACAAGCAAAAGCACATGCCAGTGAATGCTGTAATGCCTAATCCTTTGAGACAGCCCAGAGCCACAATGTCACTTCTAGTTCCCTTGTCCTCTGCTATGGGACTGCTTGGCAAATGTCTTGTGTGACCGCCACTAACTTTTTGGGGTTGATCTGGAGAGATTTATTTATTAAAGTGAAATAGGCAGAGCAGGAAAGCATGTTAGGGAGCACAATTGTTTTAGAGTTGTTCCGTTTTCTGTGAAAATTGGCCCCAGTTCTCTTTCAGATATTTCTCCTTGCGTGCACAGACAAAAGGCTTTAAAGGTGAGAGAGGTCAAGAGAAAATATGATCTTTAAAAAGCCAGGTAGCCGATGTGATGTGAAGTGTGATTAACTGAACTAAAAACATACACCCAACATAACTGGAAAGGGGGACGTTAAGCCAAAAGACCAGAGCAGACTAACCTTTTAATAACCGTACCCACAAGTCATACGAGGTCAAATAGGATTTGGCTCACATGACCAAAATCTCATTAATATTTAACCTATTAGAAGAGGATTGCTTAACGCTGTATTTTAACATACCTAGAACAAAGGGATCTTTGAGTTTTGAATTCCATTCAATTTCCATTGAAGTAGTTTAAAACAGTGAAGCTAATTGTGAACTTTGGGAGTGTATTTTGATTAGCTTAACTCTGTTGTCTCATTAATTTGACTTTATGCTGTGTTTTCTTTTTCTGCAGCTGGCACCCCGTTTCAAACAGATCAGCAGAGAGAAGAGGCAAAAGGAGGAACCAGTAACCCAGCGATCCCAGAGGAAGTCCGCCTGAGTACATCTTAGACCTCTGCTTCTACTTAGCCCCAGAGTCCATCCTTTCTCCTGGGGAACTATGAGGACGCGTGAATGGGGCTTGACAAGCAGACAAGCACATCTAATTCCAACAGAATGTGACAAGAAGAAAGCTATTGTGCCAGAGAATGAAATACCTTGAACTCCTATCGCTGCACAAACTTTATGACAAAGGAAAAATACAAATCACATCATTAGTCTTCAAATCAGCATGCTCCGGCTAGATTCAGCCCTTCCAGGTAGTATATTAAGCATGACAAATGTTAATGCAATCAAGCCTTGTTAAGCCCTCTGCCATCTCCTAACAGAAGAAGGCAGCTTCAAGAGGCTCCTCGTTTGACTCTAGACTTGCCTGCTCCTCCCGTTTCCACAATGCGTCTCCAGGCCACCTGCTACCACTCAATCGAACAATTATGTCTACTCTAGTACTGCAGCACTTGTCAGCAGGAACCCTCGAAGGATGGTCAGTTGAGGCTTGGTGGGCCAGGGGGAGTCTGCTCTACTTTAGGGCTGCCAACAATGGCTGTGCGGCAGCCAGTTCGGCAGCAGAAGAGCATCACTATGTTTAGCTACCACATGCTGCTGCAGAGTTCAGAGAGGCAGCCACCGGTGGCGAGCCACACAAAGTACAGGCCTCTTATTAGCATGGATTTGAAAAGCTACAGTTGGTACAAAGGGTCTCATTAGCACAACACAGAGGGAGTGTAGTTGTGGTCCTCGGAGGGCTGCCTCTGTTCTCCTCAGGTTACCTTCTATATTCAAATTTCCCAAAAATGTATTTAAAGTTCAAGGCCAGGCTTAAGTCTGTGTGAACAGCCTGTTTTTAAGCAGTCGAGTTGTTTTTGGAGCTCTGCAGAAAGAGGATTGGAGCCAGCCAAGGGGAGTCATAGGAACTGTGAGAAACAGGAGTAAAGAGCCGTACGCAGTATATCAAGTATTCTGCTACCCTTGGGATATTCAGTTCCCCAGCTCCCACACCTTCAGATACATGAAAAGAACAATGGCAGCATAACGAAAGATCAAATAATACAGTTTGAGCCAAGCTGGTAAACAACCAGCATTTTCAGAAAAATGTTATGTATATTTGCACAAGCCATAGGTGAAAACATTATAGGTGAAAGCATTTTAAATAAACCAGCTTAACTCTCTTAACTGAAAATAGTCTGGAGAAAGTCCTTAATTTGGAAATACATGCAAAAGTATCAGATATGCATGTTTAATAATGAGAACAAGATATCTTACATAGAAATGAATGAGATAATCACCAACTATACAACACGTCATTCAGACACTCTAAAACCTTATTTAAGAGAAGAATCACATTTGATAGAACGGAATTTGCCAATTAACATGAGTTATATGTCTGCATTAATCCGTCTGAGAAGACTTTATGTGATCATGTAGGAGAGGGATGACATTTATAAATGCTGTGTGTGCACACTAGTCTAAAGGAAGCCTCACATAAGATATTGTGCGACGGAAATTAGTCAGTGTTGAGACAGAGAGCACGCAGAACCCTACATCTTGAAGAAAAAGCCTGATTAAAAGGAATGGCACACTGTTGGTCTCAGTTTTAGACAAAAAAAAGCTTTTGATAAAGCCATTGATGAGTTTTTGGAGGTATATACCCCCGAACATGTTGACAAGCATTGACTGTAGTGTTTTAAGGAGAGCTTTGTGTTGCTGCCATATCTGACAGTTGGTGTTTTTGGTGCCAAGGTGCTGACAGTGGAGGAAGATGCATTAGTTCGCATACAGCTGTGGGAGAGGAATACTTCAGCTGCCACTATCTAATTAGCAGTCACCATAATGGCATCTCAGCCAGACCTTATGCCCCAAAATGAATTTCCAATGGCTAGGAAATGGGGGGAATGGCTTCCATGCAGCCAGTCAATTGTCCTGTTACAGTTAAGGAATCCAGCGGGCTGGTACCACTCATATTTCATCCCAGGTAAAGATTACCTGTCAGGCCCATGGGAGATGTATTGATCTGTTTTCCTTTTTCCGCCAGCAATCACCTGACAAAGGCACCTAGGAGGTGAGTGAATGAGTGATGCCTGGTCTGTGTGCTCCAGCCTGGTGGCTTCATGTGTCCACTCAGGGGTGGAGAGGGGATGAGGAAAAGAAAAGATAATGCAGTCATAAACTCTGTTTGAACCTCCTCTGTATGCATGCAGGGCAAGCCCCCTTTGAGTCTTGTGTCACAGGTCAGTGGGAAAATTGCTTTTTTGGCTCCTTTCTTGTCAGTGGCCCTTGTTCCCGCTGTGTAGTGTGCACTGAAGATAGAAATGCATGCAAAAGAGCAGCGCTGGTTCCTGCTGACAAATGCATGTTGTGATTCACCGTAGTTCAGCTCACTTTGGATTTCAAAAGTGATCCAGTTGATGTGGGTTGCTCTTTGAACAAGGAAATCCAATCTTGTGTGGTTCAATGTTTTCCTGCCTGTCTGGCAATGATCAATATCTTCCACAATATCATATATTTTCTTGGCAGCTAAAAGTATTTATGTATTTGCCTTGTTCAGTGGAATGTCAGAGTATATATTATCCATGATGCCATGCATTTAAAGTGATTGCAATTTAAAAATGTGTTGTATTTATGATGTGATAATTAGAAATCCATCAATTGAGGATTTAGGTCATGGACATTTAATTCATGAATGAAATTACATGATAGATAGTACAGTAGATATGTCTCTCTAATTTTTTACCGTCATATTTTCTAATTTAATTTTACAGGGATTTAAATAAATCTTGGTGATATCAGGGCTTAAAGGCAGCTATCCACATTTGATATGTTGTACAAATGGCATCTTATCTATTTAGGCTGTTATCTTTATGCTTAATAGCAGTGGAGCTATGCCTAATTGCTTTGCAAATGATCTAAAGAGGATTACTCCTCCCTTAGAAAGCCCGCACCCTGTGACTAGATGTGAGAGAGGCATTACAATAGTAAAATTCACTCAAACCTGCAGTGCAGCTTTTATGAAGTAGCTCGGTCTTCCGGGATCATCACCACATGTTATGTCAAGATAATTTCCTGGAAAAGGTAGATACTCTGTTGAATTAATTCCGTACAAGTATTATGTAAAACAAGTTGTTCTTTAAGAAGGTCTAGTTCTACTAAAGTCTTCAATGTATTTTCAAAGTGTTGATAAATAGATTTTTAAAGATGTCTTGCATTCATGTATTCAGTGATGTATTTATTCCTCCATGTCATGAGTATTAAAAAAAACAAAACAAAACAAACAAACAGCAGTATCTTTCCATGTGCAATAAATTTGTTTTTGTGATCATGATTCTGTTCTGTGTTTATCTTAGGATGAGTCCTCAGGTAGTTTGGTGTAACGGTATTCATAGATACAGAATGACGAAAGGGAATCTCTTTTTCGTCACTCAACAAAATGAGCTTAATCATCTTATATGATTATTCTTATGCAAGAGTGTGCCTGCTCCCAGGTCTAAAAAGAAAGCCATAAACCAGTAGTATTTCTAACAATACAGAGGAGTTACCAAATGTTTAAGCATTTTCCAACTGTATCTGCAACTTTTAAAATGTAGATATTTGGATAGAAAAAAAAGGAAAAGACAATCTATTTCTGGTATTCTGTACCCTGAGACAGCCTCATGACAAAACTACCAACTTTAATTATGAAGAATAAACTTATAAACTGTTGATGATATTTTGTTGCTGTCCTGGCACACTTTCAGCAAAGGCGTGGACCCACCGCACACGGATGTGACAGTGGTCCTGTGGAATACAAATGTTAGTTTGGCTGCAGTTTGGCTGACAGAGAAAATACTCCCTCAGCCGCTGGAGATTATCAGCTGATCCCCCGTTGTTAATCTTCCAGCTGAATGCAGAGGACTGCGGTAGTCACTTTGCCACGTGTTGAGAGTCGGAGCAATTCTCTCTGCTCACTGGTGGTCCACGGTTACAAATCACATCATCAGCTGTCTGAGCACCCACAGCCACCTCTTCCACCAGATTGATGGTGAAATGGAGGAAAAATCAATGGCTTCCTCTCATCAGAAAGAGCCAGCTCTGTCATGTTTGGGAGTTTGATGCTGGCCTCTCTTACTTTCCCTCCACTAAGAGAAATTGAAAGCTCAGTTTGAACAAACTGACACACATGGAGTCTCTGGAGTTGATATGATGACCGTTTTCAATCTGCTGCCTTACTGGTGAGGTATTGTCGTTGACTTTTAAAAACACTTCTACGCCCCCGGAGAAGATTACAGTGATCAGGTTAGGTTGGTTGAGTTTCTAGTAAATGATGGTTAGTTTTTAAATTCACTCAGAATCTTCTGTGTAGGTGACCCCATGAGTAACAGCGCTCAGTTTTCTTACCAGCGCCCTCAGGAGTCCCCATCCACTATTTAATCTGTATCATCACTGTGGCACACTACAAGGGTGTCCATTTCCCGCCCTCTGTGAAACCAGCGAACATCACTGAGCTTTTTTTTTCTCCCAACACATATTCTTCCTCTAATGGGAAATTCAAATATCACATATCAGCTGAATGCAATATTCACTTAGCGAGAGATAACACTCGGTCTGATGTGTCTCATGTATCCGGTTGAGAATAGGCACAGCTCGTCCTGTGACACCAGATCTGACTGTCAAACTGGCCGTATAAATTCTGGCAGAAGCTCGTGTGCAGTCTGTTCGCTCACTCTGTGCTTTATTGGTGCATGTGTTGGTCCTCTTGTATTCCCTCGTGTATTTGAGGGAGAGCAGATTCTGGGGCATCTGTGCTTGTCCTGCTGCCTCTGCAGCCGCACCATCCCTTTTCATTTCTGCTGGCATTCTAATCAGAGCATTATGAGCTTCAGCGGGTGAAGTACGCAGAAAGTTGTGTTTCCTGACAGCCAATAAAAACCTTATAATCTCCCTGATTCAAGTGGGCCATTTAAAAAAAGTACTAACTAGTGCTATCACTCACACCACCTCCCTCCCATTTCTTTAATGCCCTTTTTTATTTAATATATAGCCCATGAAAAATGAGAGACTCCTGCTTTGCTGTGTAGATATTTTGTTGGTGATGATGCGAGACGAATTTCCATCACAGCTTTGTTTCCAGCGGGTGAGCGGATAATCTTTTACAGTGCTGGGAGGGAGGGCCCCACTCCCATCAATCTCCTGGGCTTATAGCTGCTGCTTGGTTGCCTCATCTCACCAGAAAGACGGCAAAACACAGCAGAAGTGGCCCACAAAGGGTCAGGAGCCACCGGGGGGACGTGACTACAGCGTAAGCTCCAAAAAAACCTCCTTAACCTCCAAAACAATGCTTCACTGCCGTTCCATTAGTCCTGCCATTGTTATTATGTCATTTTTCTAACAAGCCAGTCACATCTGGGAAGGCAGCGTTGCTTTCACGCTGACAGCCCCCGTGAAGCTACGTTTTCAGCCTCAGCTGCTCCTTTCCGTTGAGAGGTTTCATCCTTCTCTGCCTCTCAACCATGTGCATTACGTTGTAAAGCGAAAGGTCTCGGTTTTACTCGTGGCATCCTGCCCAGGCGGCCTCTTGAGAGGGGCCCCCGGTGGCCCTGCGCTGGTGGCTGGCAGGCATGCCGCATGCTTCTCTCCGCACCCCACTGCCCTGACAATCGCCCGCCGCACAGCTACTCCCGGGGAGACGATGCCGCTCTGATTGACAATAATGGAGAGTGGCAGAATCAATGGGAGACAAGAAAGGGGTGTGTGTGAAATTCTCCAGGAGCTTCTAGTCACAGACCATGGGCTCTGGCACCAGTCACCTGTCATCCCTGCAGCACCAGGATTAGGGCCTGTGACAGCAGAGGCAGCCAAAGAGAAAGACGCCGCCGCCATCATCGTCCCTGACAGCCTGGAAATATGCTTATGCTTATCCCGCAGACTTAAGCTACACACGGCGTACAGGTAAACCCAAAGTAACACTTATCCATGCCGAATGTATTCTATAGCTAATAAGGTACTTTGGCAGAAAATATTTTTGGGAAAAAACATGGGGGAACAAAATATGAAAAGGCAGAAAATTTGATGCATTTCATTCATTTAATTGAAAAAAATCTTTATTCAAAGTAATCCAAAATTTTCTGATGGGATCAGGTCTTACCTGCTCCATATCCATTATTCTCTTGCTTTATTTCAGGGTGATTTTTGTGGTTTCAGTTCCAAAAGCTGTCAGTGGTAAGTTTTTCTGCACCATGCTGGACATTCTCCTCCAATCAATCTTTACACCCTCTTATAAATCTGGACATTTGTAGTGCCAACATCTTAAGGCAAACAGCAGGCACTATGAAACTCTGACACAGATTGAGGAGGACTCCATGCATTCAAACACATTTAGCCTTTGCTCAACATCACTGTGACACAGAAGAAATGTTTAATAATCAGTTGAAAAATCACACGAGGCAATAAGAGTAGGATTTAGAAACCATTTTGAACCTTCTGTGCCCCTGAACAACTTCCCCACAGTTGAGCATGGTGGTGGCAGTATCATGTTTTGGGCTGTTTGCTCACAGCTCGACAGCAGCATCGTGAAAAAAAGTGCTTAAATTTTAGAGTGGTAAAAAATAAGTATTCCAATTTAATAGGAATGCTACACTACAGCCTGTTAAATAGTCTATAAAAGCTAAACAGCAAAATATAGAATAAACATATATAAATCTCTCACATTTTATTTACATTTCTACAAACTTCATTGTCATTTTCTGCCCCTTCCTATAAGTCACACGTGAAGAAAACTTCAGATCAAAACCTGCCACTGGCATGAATTAGTTTGAACTGAGCTACCTTTAATCTGCATATAGATTAAATAATTTAGGGTAAAATCACTGAACATATGAGCAGGATATTTAGTCTGAACTTGAAAGAAGTTGGCTAAAATGGGTCACTTGAAAGAACCCCGTCTTAAAGTATCTCATTTCAAGGCTCAGAATAGCTGTTCACCTTGTGGCTGGGCTTTGGATACGTGTGTGTGTTTGTATTTAGCAGCAGAGGACAGAGGGCAGGTGTCATGACAGGAGGGGCACTCCACTCTCTAATTGATTGG